CTTTCAGAGAGGGGCTCCGCTGCTCCCCTCCCCTCAAGCTGCGCTCCCCTCCCGCCTGGGGCGGCCAGCGCAGGGCTGTGAGGGGAGTCTTTACCACCGGAGCGGGCCTCCAGGTAGACAATCAGAGTGAATTATCACGCTGCTAACTCCTGTGCCCGTTTATACCGCTTTTATGCCGGTTTGATAGCGGCTGTGAGCGTTCACAGCAACCAGGCAGCACGGGAAAAACCCCACTGACAGCTGTAGGGTTAAACCTCCCCAACATGGCGGCGCGCCGGCGCACCCGGAAGACTACGTTTCCCATCGGCCCCCGCGCGCCGACACACGTGATCGCGCCGGGCCAATGGGGAGCGGCGGAAGGCAGATATAGCCCGCCCCCAGGGCCCGCTCCCTCCTTTCCGCCGGGCGGCGCGGCTCAAGATGGCGGTGCAGATCTCCAAGAAGCGCAAGGTGAGAGCGGCGGCCCGGCTGGCCGCGACCGCGAGGGGCAGCTCCATATCGGTGGAGTCGCGCCGGGGCCGGCCCTGGGCCTCGTTAGGGCGGGGCGGCGGCGAGGGGATGGCGGCGGATGCGGGAGGATGGCTGCGGATAGGGCTGGGCGGCCCGGCGGGGAACATGGCGGCGGGAGGCTGAGGTGAGGGAGAGGGCGCGGGGGGGTCCTGCGCGGGCCTTGAGTCCTCCCCACAGCCCTGCGTGGGGCTTGCACAGGGCTCTGGGCTTGCGTGCACAGGGGAGGCATGCTGGGGTTGTGCTGAGGGGCGCGGAGCCGTGCTGGAAGCTGATGAATTTGCTTGGGTTTTCTTTTTTTCTTTTTTTTTTTTTTTTAGTGGAAAGAGTTTGGGTGTAGTGACTGCCCGCCTCTGTGAGTCAGAGAGGCCGGGAGGGTGCAAGGCTCAGCCTGTCGCGGTGAGGGAATCACAGAATTGTCTAGGCTGGAAAAGACCCTGAAGATCAACCAGTCGGGATCCTTAGCAGCAGGCCTCTGTTGGGCTGGTAAAGGGATCGGAGCACTCTAATTATTTTACGTAAATTCATACCGAATCAAAGGACCGCTGCAAGACATAGCAGCGAGCGATGAGTTTGGTTTGCAGCATGACGTGTGGCTGTAGCGAGGTGTGGATCAGGCAGTGCTGTAGTGTCCTGCTAGAAGTGAATTGTCTCTCGGAACTCGAGGGTAGATGCTTTTATTTCTCCCTACTGCTGCTTTCTCTACGTGGGGTGAGAGACTACAGTCTGCAGGGTGGTCCCAGGGATGCCTTGCCCCCAGAGTCAGAACGTGAAAATCTCATGTTCAAGGCTGAGCACTTGAACAGAGCTTAACTTGGTCCATTTGTTTGTTTTTGTTTTTTTTTTAGTTTGTCGCTGACGGTATCTTCAAAGCTGAGCTGAACGAGTTTCTGACTCGTGAATTGGCTGAAGATGGGTACTCTGGAGTAGAAGTCCGGGTCACTCCAACCAGGACTGAGATTATCATACTTGCCACCAGGTAACTGAGATGCTGCTGTTGACTCACAGGTGCTGTGCGAGGCTGTGAGGGGTGTGAAAAAACTGTGAGGGGGTGCTGCAGGCTGAAGCTTAAAGTGGTAAATATTGTTGCAGGAAGCTACTTGGGGAGGAGATTCTGAAGTGATCTTTGGTGTTACAGCTCTGGACTAAGTTAGATGCTCAGTCTGGAAGCACTTTGGGATGCTTACAGCCTCAGACCTGGAGAGAATTCTCTCAGTTGTACTGTATTTTTTTTTTCCCAGAACTCAGAATGTCCTGGGTGAGAAGGGACGCCGCATCCGGGAGCTGACAGCTGTCGTGCAGAAGAGGTTTGGATTCCCCGAGGGAAGCGTTGAGGTAAAACTGTCTCTGTTAAACCAGTAGTAAGTGGGTTGTGCAGTTAGCTTTGTGTGATGTCTGGATGGTGTCAGCTGAAAGGTGGTTTGACTTGGAGATAACTTAGGATCTGTTTTACCTTTTCTCACAAAACTCTGACTGACACACAGAAATACAAAATGCTTTGCTGTTTGTGGTATTTTGACTGCTGTTACTTTGACTGGTTTTCGCTAGACTTCCCAACAAGAAAGATGCAGATAAAACTTTTTAAACTTACCTGTAAATATTTTATAGACAATGTTGCTGTCCCAGTACTGAGGTGGGAAGCTAGTCTGACAGCATAATGTTTGGTATTTGTCTGTTACCGTTAACCTTACTGAATTTACAATGTTTCTGTTGTTGTAAAGAAACTGTTTTCGTGCAGAAGGATCTTTGAGATTTTTGAGTATGATACTGTAATGAAATAGTAAAATGATGCGCCAGTAATTTCTGGTCTTTTGGTATTTGAAATCTGGTGCCTTTACTAATGCTTTCCTCTCAAACAAATCAGGGGCAGGGGGGAATGTGTGGTTTGGGGTGGTGCTCACATTTATTCCTGCTTGGCCAGTGTTACCAGACCATGTTATACAGCAAAGATTGCTGATGATATCCAGTGAATGTTTAAACATACTAAATGGCACAAACACCGAGCACATCCCGATTTGTCAGCTCTAGGAATATCTTGTGCATGCTTTTGAATTGTCTGCTTCTTCTGAAGTGTCAGACTTTGGTCGCTTGGAGATGTTAGTTTAATACACTTCGCTCTCCCAGCTTTCAAAAAATCAAACCTTAGGTTTGATTTTTTTTTTAATACTTAAGCAGACTTAATATTAACTGATGTGTTATAAAAACTGTCTCAAGCGAAGCTCTTGTGATTGTCTGGACGCCTTTCTCCAGTGAATACCTAATGTTTTGGGGCTGTTTGAAGCAGCAGCTCTTAGAGACTGCACCATGAGTTTTAATAGTCCAGTGACTGAGTGGAGTGTCATCATTGTGTCTGTGTGTGCCATGGGTAGAAGACAGGTGCCAAAGGAGTTCAGGGAGAGTAATGTCTGAGGGTAAAGCTTCTGCATGTAAACATGGAAGGATTAACTGAACTGGGTGTAGAGGATGGGGCATAAAGTAACTTGAAGCTCCTGTGTTCTATTAAATTTAAAGTATCTTGAAATACAGCCCTGTTTCTGAGCTTAATTCTTTTCCTTTGTAGCTCTATGCCGAGAAGGTGGCCACGAGAGGTCTGTGTGCAATTGCTCAGGCAGAGTCCCTGCGGTACAAGCTTCTGGGAGGTTTAGCAGTGCGTCGGTGAGTAGAGCAAGTTGTGAGTAGAGCACAGTGGGGAAGCAATGGATTGAAATACCATTTCAAAAAAACTCCTTGCCAACTTGTCTGTAGTTTGAAAATTTAACCTGGTGATGCTGCACTTGGTGAGGGAGGTTGGTATTTTTGATAATTGTATGGTGTACATACAATGTTTTGTTCAGTACATGGTGTACATACAACTTTGTGTTCAGTACATGGTTACTTTTGGTAATGATCGCTAGATAATGTGTTTCAGACATAAAAGTTGAAGTGTTAGAGTAGATCAGGTTACGAGTTGTCTAAAGCTTGTGTTTATTTCTTTGTGAATAAATGAGTGGAGGAGCGAAACACAATTTCAAGCCTTCTGGCTGAATTGTAGTTCAGGTGACAGTGGCCTTGCTTCTCAGATCCCTTCGGTGATGATAAGATGACGAGTCAGAAGTGGGTGGCTCTTGCTGAGGTACCTCTGCAGTGTCATTTTCTGTGATGCTGCTTGTGGTTCTTCAGCAGGAGCATCCTGTCATCATTGAATGATTTAGAGGCATTTGTCTGAGAAGGGATGGGGTGCTGCACTTCTGACGTGTGTGTGTTGTCCACTTTAGCTGTGAAGCTGCTTTTGTCTCACTAAGAATGTGTGCTTGTCACTTTTCCACAACCTTACAAGGACCAAAAGTCACAAGAGTTTTCTTAGATTGGGTATAACAGTACTAAAACAGCATGAAGATTTTCGCTGCTTTGTGTAGCATTGACAGAGCTTTGGTTGCCACGGATGTGTGTTCAAAAAGCTTTTTACAAACAAACGGTTGAACTGGTGATTTTCTGTGCTTGAAATTGGTGTAAAACACCTCCACGGAGCCACGTGGATTTGGCAGAACAGGAGTAACTTGTGGCTGTTGCTGCTCTCTCCCTGCAGAGCCTGCTATGGTGTCCTCCGCTTCATCATGGAGAGCGGTGCCAAGGGTTGCGAGGTGGTTGTGTCCGGAAAACTCCGAGGTCAGCGTGCCAAATCCATGAAGTTTGTGGATGGCTTGATGATTCACAGCGGAGACCCGGTGAATTATTACGTCGACACAGCCGTGCGTCACGTCCTTCTCCGGCAGGGTGAGTGGCTGGGGTGCAGATCCCTTTGCAGCTCTCTTGGTTCCTTATGTCAGTGCTTCAGAGCCAGAAGATCTCAACTCCTGGCGTCCCGTGCCTGTTGGAAGCTTCCCTCTGTCGCCTGTGGGGTGAACTCACTGGCTTTGATGCGTGATGGATCTTGCAGAGTGGTTCAGTTGTGCTACCACTAGTTATTCTGACTCTGAAAATCTGTTGTTTTCTTGGGCTTTTGCATCTAAGCTCTCAATATGGAGTTTGCATATTAAATCTGAAGTAGAGCTTTATTTGAATTTATATATGTGAATTTCCCAAACAACAGAATTTTATGTAGTCATCCCAGGTCATCCACTTTTCTAGTGGTGGGGATTGAATATTTCCAATTCAGAATGTGGCTTTAGAGTTTTCCAGATATTCTCACTTGTGTCCTGTGCCCTCTGAGGTTGGTAGCAGAACAACTTATAAGTGAAATGCATATGGACTGAGTTGAAGAGCTGTTTGGATTCTGTCTGTATGGGCAGACAGACCACAGGTGCTACAAGACCCACAAAAAAGCCAGTGTCAGTTTTCCCCTGTAGCTGTGCCTAGGCAAGTCTTCCCAGCTAAACCAGCCAACCCTGCTTAAACTTGTCCTTCCCTCTGGTAAAACACAAATGACTTCTGCATCTTAGTTCGCTTTGGGTTACTTAATTGCAGAATGCCTGATGTAGGAATACTAGCATAGACAAAGCTAATGTCCACTTTCCCTTCGGTGATGATAAGATGACGAGTCAGAAGGGATTCCTTGTGCCATTGCAGCCTGCTCAGTGCCATGTTCTGTGGTGCTGTGCTAAGACTGCCATGGGCAGGATGTCCTACTCATTGGATGATTTAGAGGCATTTGTCTGAGAAGGGATGCAAAAACAGCCCAGTGTAATTTCCCAGGAAAGTGAGCTGAGTTATCCCAGCCAGGAAGGACAGGGTTTAAAACCAGGGTTAGCATGACTTAAGGATACAGCACGTTTTTGTCCTAGCCCCAGGCTGCAGTTAGCAAAGGCAGTGAACTGGACAAAGGTAACCATGCTGATGTGAATTCACAGTAATGAGGTTTTTAAGCTATAGCACATCTGTGTTAATCAGCTTGCAATTTCAGTGTTGTCAGGAGATGTTTTTGATACAAATAGTGTATTTTTTTAACCTTGGGGCTTGTTCCTACTGAATATGTGCTTGATATTTTGTGCTGAATGAGCATGGCTCTGTTGTCCTGGCACTCTTTGCAGGAGTACTGGGGATCAAAGTAAAGATTATGTTACCCTGGGACCCAAGTGGAAAGATTGGCCCCAAAAAGCCTCTGCCAGACCATGTCAGCATTGTGGAACCCAAAGAAGAGATCTTGCCCACCACTCCCATTTCAGAGCAGAAAGGTGGCAAACCAGAACAGCCAGCCATGCCTCAGCCCGTTCCCACTGCCTGAGGGGTAAGTGCCTGCGAGCGGCGGGAGGTAGTTTTGGGGAAGATCCACGTGGAAAAGGTGTCACGCCACCAAAAAAAGCTGTCAGATAGGGTGCTGGAAAGAAAAGCTGCTGTGTTGTAACAGCAGGTGCAGGGAGCAGCTGGGCTGGGTTTAGAGTGTTCCCCTGATGAAACAGGCATGATTTAACGCACGCTGCACACCAGCTAAGCACACCCTTCTGTGAAGATGAGATGACGAGTCTGAAAGGGAATATCCTTGTCCAAGTGCCCTGTTCTGTGTTGTGTTCTACAACATGGATTTGGGGACCTTGGGTCACAGTTTGAGTGACATAGAGGCATTTGTCTGAGAAGGGTTCAGTGCTTTGGGTGTTGTCATGTCGTACCGTCTCCCACCAGCGTGCACTTGACAGCACAGGGTATATGTTCCTCGTGTACCCCCCTTTCTCATGGCATCCAGTTTGGGATAGACTTGGGAGCCAGTAATCTTGAGCACAATGTGTAGGCAAGTAAAGAATCAAGGTTTCAAATCCTGTCTCCCTGAATGAGTAGCTAAGAGAAACTGATAGCTTGAAATGGTCTGAGAATTGCACTGGGTTGTTACCAGTGAAAATGTGCACCTTGCTGCTTTGAAAAGTTTTGCTCGCTTGTCTCGGAGAGCAGCGGGAGGCTTGGGGCTGAAGGCCTCTTCCAGAAGAAAGTCTTCCTCGGCTGCTAGTGAGAGCCAGGCTGTGGTGTTCTCGGACTGAAGCTGGCCTTGTGCAAACAAGGAGAGTTCAGGGAGTTTACAGGGCTGCAGTAAAACAAGGGAATCTGATCGCAAGATCTGCTCCTGTGGGGAAAAGGAGGATCATTGGCTAAAATGCAAGAAGTGAGAGATGCTCTTTAGTTTGAGAACTTGTAGCCTGTTTGTTCTGTGTTTTGGGTAGAATGGTTACAGAAATTGGTTTGCCACCATCTCACTCGGTATTTTGTTTTTTGTTGTAGGGTTTGTAACATCTGCAACCAGAAGTTTGACTGTCCTGAAAACATCTCTTAATAAAATCACAAAAAAGACAGTGTTTGTGGAGGTGCTTTTTTTTACCAGATGTATTCCAGGAAAGCCTTGCTCCCACCGTTGATTTGGAAGGAATTCTGCTGCGTTTCTTCCAGTTTGCATTATCCTTTTGAAGTGAATTTACCAGTTTTAAACAAAGTGGGGACAAAATGCTGATTTCTAGTAGAGCTGGAGCAGCAACCTGGTGTTTAGAGGGTCATAATTAACACCCCAGGAACTGCAGTAGTAATGGTAATTCTTCAGTTACTTACCAGTCCCTTCCTCCGAGGTTTCCAGAAGGGGGAGCTTGTAGTGTTTTATACTTTCTGGCGCTAACTAAAGTGTTCCTAAATGCTTTTTTTCACCTCTGTACATCCAATTCCCTTTTCACTGAAAAGACACTCACTGTGTGACTTCCAGGGCTATAGACCATGTAGGGACATTATAGATCCTGTTAGGGTCAGGTCACCTTAGTGATGTGGATATGAAACTTCTGGGTAGGTATTTACACATTGGGGGGGG